CCCCCGGCCGCCGCCCCCCGGCCGCCCCGGCGTCCCGCGAGCGCCTTTCGGAACTGCACCGGCCCCCGAACTGCAGGCGAAATCCACTTTTGTTTTGGTAATGCGAAAGAGGAGAGGAATGGGAATGAAAAGAAAAATGGGGGGAGGAAGTGGGGGCGCAGGACCGCATGGTGGCTGGGGTGTCAGGGGCCTCCTTTCGTTTTTTCAAAGAGAATTTTCACGGGAAGCCTCCCATCCCGGCGGGGGAAAGTCCAGTTTCATAAAGGCAAATAGAAGAGCTGGAGGGGCGTGCGCGGAGCTGCCTGCGAGCAAGGTCACCCCCTGGAACTGGGCAAGGTTCTGGGTGAGCGTGGGCCCCAAGGTCTGTATGGTGGGTTGCTGCCAGACAGGAGGTACTTCTGGGGTGCAGCAGAAGGTGGGGACCTCGGAGCGAGTACAGTGGGCATTGCTTGCCCCAAATGCCAGCCCACAGAGCAACCCTCACTAGAAGGAGGGAGGCTCCGCAGAGCCCAGCCTGGCAACCAGGGCACCCTGGGCAGACAGGGGTTAATGCTCTGGGGCAGGTGTGAGGAGCCAGGCAGGACTGAGGCATCTCCTTCACATTAGCTTAGCAAGACAGAAAGACCCCCCCCCATGAAAGACAGTCCATTTTCACCCCCAGAGCCCAAGGCACGTGGGGAATGTTCCCCCTTCAAATTCCAGTTCGCATCAATCACCCCACGTCCCTTTCCAAGAACATCTGGCCTCAGCTCCCCCACCCGTGGCTTCCCCCCTTCCGTTCCCCGTCGGCGTCTGCAGTCTCCCCACAGCCTGTCTTTCTGGCCTGGAGGAGGAAAGCGGAGAGGGAGCCCCCTGCAGAAGGCTTGGGTGTGTCCATGTTGCTCCCCACTCTGGCAATTGAGAAATTTGGGGGTGGGGGCATTCAAACAGCCTGCTTGTGGGACCTGGGGTCCCTGCGAACCAGAGCGGACTTCAGACCCTCCCTGCAGAGGAAACCAGGGCTGTGCCTGGCGGCTGTGAGCACAGCCCTCTCCACTGTCCTCCGGCCCTTCTTCCCGGGCTGGGGTGGATGGGCGTGGGAGAGCCCTGATTCACAGTGGTAGACTTTCCCCCTCTTTGGAACGCTTGGGGGGCAATCCCACAGTGACCTGTATGAAGGCTGCCTCTGTTTTCTGTCCCCACAGACAGGTCACCTGCCCAGGAGAAGCCCACCACGCAGCGTTTGGAGACGTGCGGGGACCTTTCAAGGTAGGAAGAAGGCTGCGGACACCTTGGGTGTCAGCGGGAGCCTGGGAGGGTGGGAGGCTGCCAGGGCCTGCCGTGTCGGGGGGCACACGCGCTTCCCCGCCCCCACGGGGCTGCCCGCTGAACCCTCGCCTTATTTAGTCAAAAGAGAGGCCCCAGGGGCAGGCCCAAGACTGGGGCCGAACCGGCGCCCGAGGGCTCAAAAGGCGCTTGGTCGCGCCCCACCCTCAGCGCCGACCAGCTCTGGGTTCTCACCCGGTCCTCTACTTCCCGCCGACTTCCGGCCCCCCACGGTGGGGAGGGGCCCACCAGCAGCCCGAGGCCTGTATGGGGCAGGGGTCTCCCCTGCCCAGAGCCTCCCGCGCAGAAACTTCAGCCCCAAGCGCCACCCTCCCCCCAGCCCTTCCCCACCCACTCCAGCAATGCTGGTCTCTCCAGACGCGCCAACCCAAATTCCAAAGCGGACAAACGCCACCTCGAAGATTCGGACTCACCCCACAGAGCCCGACCCCGTGCGCGCACCGACCTGCGGCTCCCGGCACGTTCTCCCGCTTGCCCTTCTCATCCCCCTACTTCCTCCCCGCTCTGGCTCCGAGCTTCCTCCCCCTCTCCCTGGGACCCAGCCCGGTATTTTACAAACCGGCCTCGTCCTCCCAGGGTCCCCTGAGCACCCCTCCCTCGCCCCCTGCAGGGCGCCCGCCATGAAGGCGCGGACCGTCAGCTCCGAACCTGGAGAACACACCGCTCAGCGTCTGCCTGGCCGCTGCCACGCCAGGGACCCACACACAGGGCCGGAACCGCCAAGACCTCATGGCACAAAACCACCGCAGGGCTGATCAATAAAGTCCGCGCCAACCAAACCAAATGCCGAAAGTATGTACGGTTGGGCTGGGCTGGGGGCTCCGGAAAAGGGGGCCGCCCTGGAGCTGGGGAGGAATTGAGGCTCCGCTACTATTTGACCCCAACTTGATTTAGGGTCTCAATTTAAGATACCTTTAAAAGAACATTCCTGACCTCTCTGGCGTGGGCAGACTGACCTGGGGTGGGGGGTCACCTGCATGTCCCTCCCTGAAGGCTCTAAGGGTTAGCCGAGGGGTGCAGGGTGGCCTCTATCGTTCTTGGACACAGGTCCAAGGACACAAACCCACCCGCTGACCCCCACCTCCAGAGTACCCCGAGGCCCCTCAGGCAGCTCAGCCTCACCCATCTTTCTCTCCCGCAATACCTGATCAGTGAACCAGGGGGGCCACCACCACCAGGAGCTTGCTTGCTTGCTCTGGAGGAGTAAGAGGTGGTTCTGGCCAAGGGGCCTTTCTAGCCCCCCCCCCCCGCCACCCACACACACAGACACACAGGAAGCCCCGCCAGCCGCCCTCACACAATGGGACAATGACAATTGTAAAACCCCTTAGACTCGAATGCCTCTCCCTCATTTGACCATCACCTCACTTGCTTTTCACAGTTCTGAACAGCCAGAGGGGCTGGGGCTGTTACCCCGCTTTGACAAAGGGGGATATAGAGAGGTCAGGAAAAGGGGATGAGGTCCCAGGGCCGGGAGGAACAGGGTCCTGCTCTCACCATTCCTCCCCAACTTACGAGTTTTTCCCTCCCCTCCCACACTCTCTCCCACTTCTCAAATTCTGGCTTCACTTGGACCCCCCCTTCCTTCTCCCTATGGGCTGGCTGCCCTCCCCTTCTGCCCTGCTCCCCACCCTTTGACCTTTTCCCTCCTCCAGGAGCCCCTCTCAGAGGACTTTGGGGGTTCTGCAGAGACCGCAGGGAGCCTGCTCTGTCCACACCTAAGCCCCACCCCGGGGGAGCAGTACCTGAAGTGAGACCACCTGAGCACTGGACACCAGCTGTGACTGAGCACACCCAGCCTCTCTGAGCCCCGCTCCTAATAAAGGGGGTGTCTCCACCTTGAGAGGCTCCAAAGACCAAAGGACATCAGGTCCCTGTACATAGCCTGACACAAGAGAACGTGACAGTGGGCCTCATCCACCGTGCCTGTGGTGCCAGGGACACTTACCTCTCGGGTTCTGGGGCTGGCTGCTGGCCTTAGTTCTGCGAGCGCTGGGATCGCTGGGGCCACAAGCCACAGCAGCTCACTTCAGGGCTGGGATCACGGGAGGCTCTGGCCTGCTGGGGCTCAGGCTGGGGGGCAGGCTGGGCAGGGGGGTGAGCCAGGCAGGCTGGGTGAGCCGGGGGGCCCTGGTGCTGGGGTCTAGTGCCCAGCTCCTCCTGTACCAGCTCAGCAGTCACTCTTCGGCCCCTTGGGAAAAGCACAAGGTGGCCATGAAATGATCTCTTCTAAAACAAACTCCACTACACAGGAGCCCCGGTCCCCTGCCCCTCCCCTGCTCTTCGGTCACCTTGTCAGGGAGTGGGCAGTGTCCCCTCTCCTGCCCCCATGGCTGCCTGGCTTTCCCTTTTTCAAAGTCCAACAGAGGGACCAAGTGACAAGGGGTTTGCCTAGAACTGGGCTTCCCTGCAGCCAAGCCTGAAAATGCGTGGGTGGGGAGGAAGGAGACCCCTCTGTTGGATGTCTGCCCCCTTCCTGGCTAGGGGTGGACTTCTGCCTGTGTGTGTGGGCAGGGGGAATTGATGCACACAAACAACTTGCCTTGGGGGTCACAGCACAAAATATAAAAATTCTTCATCCACTCCTCGACACCCTGCCTTGAATAGGGGCAAAACCCAAAGGACTCAGCTCTGCACTGAGAAGGCAGCTGGTAGGGGGTGGGGGTGGTGGTGACTGGGTTTCTCTGTGGAAATGAGCCCCTTCCCACCACACCCAGCTAGGTGGGTAGAGGAGCCTGGGATCCAGCATGGCGGAGAGAAGAAAAGCGCAAATGAATATGCCCCTTGAGAAAGTGCCCTTGCCCCAGTTCTGGGATGGCAGCACTGGGGTGGGGGGGCACAAAGGCGAGCTGGGTACACTGTCAGGAGAAAGAAGCTTTACTTTTAAAACACTGCAGGGGATATCATGAGGGCGTTGCCCCTTTGTCCTCTCCTCACATGGGCAATTTCTTGGTGGGACACTGGTGGGGGGTGGGGGTGGGCAGGGAGCAAGGAGAAAGAAATTTTACTTTTAAAATGGCATAAAAAAAAAAAACAAAACTCCTCCAGACTCTTGGGCCCCTGGCCCCTCTGTACAGTCTCCTGTTTGTCTTTGGTTGGGATGAGGGGGGTGTGCAACAAGAAGAAACTTCTCACACACAAAAAAACCCTGCCTTTTACATTTGCAAAAACAGCTGTGCACGCCTGCTGGGAAGAGCAGCCTTACCCTCCACCCCTGCCCCTCCCATTTTGCTGGTGGATTAGTGAAGGAAAACCTATTTTCCTTGCAAAAGTCTCCTCTCCACTCCATATATAGAGCAGCCCTATAGAAGAGCCCTCTTCCCACCTGTGTCTTCTGTCCCCTCCAAAATCAAGACTACTGTTAGGGAGCCTGCCTGAGGGACCCCGGCAGCTGCCGCAAGCTCCCAGCCCACCTACTTCTGAACACTCAGAATATAGGTTTTCCCCCACACTCAGAGGGTACAGCTTAAAGGAGGGAAGTCCAGTTACCTGTATTCTAGTCGCTGCGCAGTCCCGGCTGCTCCCGGACGGTGGATAATGAGGACAGGGGAGTTACTGGTGCCCAAGTCTCTCTGCTGAAACTGCCCGGTCGATGATCCGCTGGTCGGGCCAATATTAGCAGTCGCCGCCAAAGCAGGGGGTGTTCTGGCTGTGGTGCCCAGATCCTCCAGCCGGGTGGACGGGGAGGAGGAAGTGGAGGTGGAGGAGGCTGCAGAGATGATGAAGGGCACTTTTAGGGTGTGCATGATAATGGAGCCACTAGAAGCAGGAACACCTCTCCACCACCGAGTAAGGCACCTGCCAAGTGCCAACTGAAATTATGGCTTTTGTGCCTCACCTCCTCGTCCCCTCCACGCCTTTCCTCCTCTCCCTCAATAATTTCTGCTCTCTCTTGTAAGCCCTCAAGCCCCTCCAAATTCAAGGGGCTTTGTTCCAACTTGGTGCTGCTGGAGCTGGTAGCTGTGGCACCTTCCCACGCCTGGGCACGGTGCATTGGGGGGGGGGGTGAGGGTTTGGCCCACCCCTGACCCAGCAGAAAGGCATTTGTGGGCATGGGCATAAGCCGGAAGCTGTCCCTGCCAGCTAGGAGGTGGGACTTGGGTAGCGGAAGTGGGGAGTGGGCAGGACTCCATTTGAGTGACACTTGGCAGTTACTTGATACCCTGGAATGCTGGTGGGCGTGGCACGGGTAAAATGGGAGGGGGCGTGAGAGGGGAGGAGGCGCGATTCAAGGGTGGGCAGAAGAATCTCCCTCCAGGTGCTCCCAGGGCAGCTGAAGCACAGTACAGTGTAACCCTTCCTTCTTCCAGACACAGTGCTTCTTCCAGGGACAGGACTCAAGCCTGCAGTTTTCTCCTTCACTACTCACGTCAGATCTGACCCCCCGCATTATACACGTGGTGCTAGGTGCTAAGACTGCTGCTGCAAGTGGAGGCAGCAGGCAGCAACTGTCCTGTTTGCAGGCACCCCTGGATAGGATGGCCAGCTGAGTTCACAGCCTTTTGAGCCTGACTGAAACTCCAGTGGGGGTGCAGACTCAGAGCTGACAGTGGCTAAGGGAGGGGCCGTACAAAAACACCATCTGATCCAAGTAAATCTCACTGGGTAATGGAGCCCTCTTCCGCTAAACCTGCAGGGAAAGCAGTCAGGAGAGCAAAGATTCACTAAAGGACAAAGCCATGCACACTTCCCAGAGGGCTGCCTGCCCCCAACCACTCTGTGTCCCCGTGCCCTGGTGCCACCCTCTGTGGGTCTACCTCACCCAGCTTACCAGCCTGTGTTGGGACTTAATTATCTCCTCACCTGAACTTCCTTGGGAGGAACAGGGTGGTGGGGGAGAACGGAGTTTTCAGCAGGGAAGAGTGTCAGACTTGAAGGGGACTCAGATCTGGTTGGGATACCTGGAAGAAGACTCCAAATGGCCCAGAGCCACCCGATCCTGTGGGAGGAGAGGAGGCAGGACGCCTCACTCGTATGGCCCTGAGTTAGGTCTGGGACACATCAGTGGGGTTCTCCTGCAGTTTTCAGCATAAGGCAGCCACTTGCTCCTTGCTGGTTTGGCTGTGCTTTGGGGCTCTGTGGCTTGAAGGTTCTGCAGCCATGTGCTGCCCCCTGGTGTCTGCTTCAACATGCCTGACTACTGCAAGGAGCTACTGCCAGGGCCCTTTGGGGAGACTCAGCTGGGACTCCACAAGCTGTAGGTAGGGCCAAGGAGAGTGAGGCATTGACCCCAAGCCAGACAACAGGGTATTTGCAGAGTCCCATTCCCATGACTGAGGATGTGGGAAGCCAAGGAGCTGAAGAAGCAACCCGCAGCCTGCAGATTGGGATCCTCCCACCTCCCGCCCCTAAAACAGGGTATTTTGGATCCAAGCTCTGTCCTGGACTGGATTCCCACCTCCGGCCTGGCCCAGAAAGGGCTTGCTCTATCCCAGGGCTATTTTATTCCACCAGGATCTCCCAATGTTTATGCAAGAGGAGGGGAGGACACATGGGGGACCAGTTAAGCCATGGTACCACTGAGGCAGGGCTAGAGATATCAGGGTTCAGTGAGTCGGGGTGTGAGACCTGTGCCTCCCAGCCCTGCATTCCAAATGCTCACAGGGGATTTACCATTTAAGGGAGGGGGGCACATGGCCTAGAGGGTATACAAGGTGGGAAGAGGCAACACAAAAGGGACAAAAGTTGGGGTGCAGGGATGAGGGCCACCTGACAGCAAATCTCTCCTTATCCTACTAGCTCTTAGGCCTGTGAGAGAGTCAGCCTGTCCTGGGTTCTGGTCAGATCCTCATTTATGCAGGAGAGAATTGGGGTGAACCCCTAAAGTCTCCAGCTTCAGCTTTTCTCCAGTTGGCTGTTAAGCGGCCTCTTGCTGACACCTGGTGGCCATGTCTAGAATTTCAGTGGCACAGCCCAAAGGTTTTAGGTGCTGCCTTTGGGACATCCTACTGGGTCCTAAGGGGGCAAAGCGGAGACATTTCCCCTACAGGGAGAGAGGCCCCCTCTGCGGAGTCGGGCACAGGTGAGCTCTCCACCTTTGTGCTTGAATCTGAGTTTCTTATCTGCCTCCTCCTGGCTTCCAGAACTGGAGGAAGCTAACGGAGTTCCTCCCCTTGGGTATCTATGTACTGCGCGGAGGGTGGGAGGTGGGGGTGGGTGGGTAATGGGGCATGGTGGGTACCCAGAGCCACAAGATAAACCTGAAAAGTCTTCCTGAAGCATATGTTTTTTCTGAGAATGGGGGGTAACTGTGTGATTTTGTATTAAAATAAAATCAGATATATTACTGAGAGGCTCTGGGCAGAATGTGGCAACTCCATTCTAAAGTAGGGTCCCTGAGGTGCGCAAGGGGTGGGTGAACTGTGCTCTCAACTTCCCCATTGCCCCAGCTCCAAGCTGCCCCACCTGGGAAACAGGGCTTTCAAATCTGGCCTGAGCCTGTCACCTTGTGGCCACTCGGAGAAGTTGCAGCTACAACCTCAGAAAGAGCCTTGCTTTCTGATAAATCATTACCGCTGACTCACTATTCCCGATAAATATCGCCATTAGAAAAACAACCGACCACTTTGACCAAAGCTTGGGAGTTTAGAGGAGAGGAGGAAGTAACCCGTAACTGCCTGTCCTGAGCACTCTGGCTTTAATCCCGCGACCTCTGCACCATCTGGGTCCTTTGTGGCCCAGCCACCCACCCCTGGTCAGCCCTACAGGTGAGGGGTCAGCCCTACAGGTAAAAGG